AAAATAATTCGAAGTGGTCTGTATTCTGTCGAAACTGCCAGACGTGGATCGCGATTTCGATCTTTTTGGATCTCATCAGTGCGTCGCATGCAGCCCGACAGAACACAGACCAACCTTTACCTGCTGTCTTAACAGCGCGTTTTAGAAAATACCACAAATGGCGTGGTGAGCGCCATCTGTAGTATGATGCTATATTTTAGGATTACGTATGTTCCAGCAAGGTCCATTTAAAAATATGGATATGTACTTGCTGAAACGAATCCCGGCGTAGCTCACCTCAACGTGATACGCACGTTACCATAATCGAACAAAATAATTCGAAGTGGTCTGTATTCTGTCGGAACTGCCAGACGCGGATCGCGATTTCGATCTTTCTGTGTCCTGTCGGAGCTGCCTGCGACGCGCTGATGAGATCCAAAAAGTTCGAAATCGCGATCCGCGTCTGGCAGTTCCGACAGAATACAGACCACTTCGAATTATTTTGTTCGATTATGGTAACGTGTCTTATCACGTTGAGGTGAGCTACGCCGGGATTCGTTTCAGCAAGTATATATCCATATTTTTAAATGGACCTTGTTGGAACATACGTAATCCTAAAATATAGCATCGTACTACAGATGGCGCTCACCACGCCATTTGTGGTATTTTCTGTACTATAGTTATTTATACACAGGTATGTGTACACTCATTAGGACAGCCGTGAAAAATCATTTTTAAAAATTGAACATCTTCGTTATTTACGATCGAGTTTAAATGAAGCTGTTCAAGTGTTTAGATATAGTTTAAGAAATTAGTTAATAAATTCTGACACGTCCAGTGATTCACACTCGGTACGTGATGCTTTTGTAATAATCGTTTGAATGATTTTTGGCCATGTGCCATACGAATACAAATTATTATTCGTCAAATTAAAAATCTCAACAGTACGAATGTTCTGGAGATCGTTTTTAGATGTGTTTGCTAGTTTCTAGGGTTGCGTAGGAGACTATCAGAATTTTATTATGTCTACATTTCTGGCTTGCCGATTTCTACAGTTTTAGACCTATAAATATAAATTTTTATGCGTTTAGGGAGTCCGAACATTACATTTAAGTCAGGGGAGCCATCTTTTATTTTATTTTATTTTTTTCATTATTAATAATTGATTAAGAACAGGAATATTAAAGGAAGGGGGATATTGTTACCCGCCTTAACCTAACCTACTCTATCCTACCTTACAACAAAAACTACCCCAACTCATATTACTTAAGCTAAAGTGCGTAACGGTTCCGCCTCCCCTTAATATTTTTATTTTTGAAACGTTCCCCCATCATAAATTTACTATTTTTATGTATTCTCCAGAGCGAGTTTTGTCTGGTGCTACTATTCTAATTAATTACCAGTTTTGGGATCTTCCATACGTTGTAAAGAACCGTATGAATGGACCTAGTAACTTTTGGTTATTCTTTTTATATAGAAGGCTTGAAAATTGCACAATACTAATTTTTTTTTTTAAGTTTGAACGTCCTGTAGCTCAAAGTAAGGGTTGTATTGGAAACAGATGTACGTATAAATGTTTGAGATAATTCAAGAACCTTTAATTGAAGCCATGAAAAATTCAGTTTCGTTAAAAAAATGGCCTAAAACGTTTGGAAATTGCCATTTTACAAGTAATCTTTAAACAACAGGAATTCATTTAACACTAAAATTTAATTGTAAATTATTTTCCCTAAGTGGGTTCTAAATTCCCTACGTTTAGGGATATTTCGTTAGGTCTGACAACCCTTAGCCAGTATTGAATTAGTGGACATCTCTCTCCCTCATACTTACTGCGTGTAATGAGAGACAGGGAGGGAGGGAAAGATGGCTGACGTGGTAGATTGGTCCTACCTACCGACAGTTTTACAAATGCTACTTCGAATTATTATGAACAGATAGCGTTTAAAGAGTTCCAGAAGCTTCGCCCTATCGTGTGTCCCACAAGACCAAACTCTTTTTTTTTGTATTTTTAAGGAATTATGATGAAGCTCTTTAAATTCTAAATCGATTGAGATGTTAATTTGTTAGTCCCGAAACGTCAAATGTTTATTGCTGTAGATTTTTTTTTAAAGTTCACTTTATTTTCAATTATAAGTCACCCTGTATAAAAGTCTAAATTCGATTAAAAAATTAAAGGAATACGTACAGGGCGATATTAATTGAAGTATGTACATAATTGGAAAAGATTATCTGTGGTATTTGTTAATTTGTTGAGTGATTCAGTTCAGAGATTTGTTATTTTTATATACAATTTATTTGGTTTTTTCTTTGTTTGATTGACGAATTATTTTACGATTCGTTTACGTTGCCCTTTTATTTCAGCGAAAAGTACACGAGGTTTTGTCAATGGAAGAATTTAGAATTAAATATTCAGGTAAGAAGATTTAATACAGTGGAAAATATTCAATAGATTTTATTTGGTTTTGCATTAGAGAATAAAATTAAATTAGTCATTCCATTAATATCTTTAAATTAATTTTCATAATAGTTAACGATGAACGACTTCAGCGTGCACAGGATAATCGGTAGGGGTGGTTTTGGGGAGGTGTACGGTTGTCGGAAGGCGGACACGGGCAAGATGTACGCGATGAAGTGCCTCGACAAGAAGAGGATCAAAATGAAACAGGGCGAAACGTTGGCGTTGAACGAGCGAATCATGTTGTCACTAGTCAGTACCGGTCAAGATTGTCCGTTCATCGTTTGCATGACCTACGCATTTCACACGCCCGACAAATTGTGTTTCATCCTCGATCTTATGAACGGCGGCGACCTTCATTATCATCTCAGTCAGCATGGCGTCTTCAACGAGTCGGAAATGAAGTTTTATGCCGCGGAAGTTATTTTAGGTATGTTATTTTAACTAATTTATTGTTGATTTATTATTGAGTACCAGCCATCCAAATTCTTAACAATAACATGTAATCTAAACCCGTAGTGCGTAGCACCTATGTAATCATTAACCTTTTACACCCTGTATACGTTAATATACATATATGTATGTATATGCAACCAATTATACACGTCAAACAGAAAGGTAGTGGATATCACATGTTATTAAAGTATATGCAACCAATTATACACCCAAGTCAATCTTTGTTTTGGCTTGTCTAGAATTGGTAAAGAAACAAATAAATAATTTTTTAATAGTAGCATTCATGAGTTGAGGGGTGGCTACAGAAATAGTTCTTACGAAAGGGGTTCATTTTTCGTTAAAAATGAAGGTAGTTACATTTTTTTTTATTTGTATTTTATTTTTTTATATTCAAGAGCAAATCATCCAATTCGATGTTTCTCACACAACATGTTTCACAATCTAAAGTAATTATAAGTTATAGAGCTTTGGTAGGGGTAATTTTCCCCATTTCTACCCCTTAGACCCGCCACTTATTTAAATCCATATTTGAACTTTCTTCTGTACATTTTTATTAACGTTCTGTCTTTTTCACTTTAATTATTGTTTAGAACAACGCTCAATTACTTCCTCTTGAGTCTTCAAAAATAATATGAGATTTAAAAACATGAAGAACCATATTTTTTTTATTGGTTATTTCTCAAATTTAGTATCTAATAATAACTAAAGAAACACAGTAAAAAATATAATATTGATGATACGATATATTTCTATCTTCTTCTTTGCCAAATTTCTTGTGTTCCTTACGTGATGTTTCGGAAAAATAGAACAACACTTAATTAAGTTATCAAAACTTTTACACGCAATAAATAAAAAAGTTACTTGCCTCTGAAGGAACAATAGAACCCTTCTAGGTTCAAAAACATTTATAGGGGTCAAATGACTTGAAAAAAAAATTCGTATTAGTCTTTTAGGATGTACTATTAAAAATTTGGTAACTCTGACTAATTTACAGAGGTATTTTAATGAAAATAATATTTTAAAAAAACTGCTACGAAATTACTGAAAATGAAATAAAAAAAAATGGAAAAATAAATCCATTAAGCTAATAGATTTGCATTTATACATTTCAAATTTTACAGGTTTGGAGCACATGCACAGGCGGTACATTGTATATAGAGACTTAAAACCTGCGAATATTTTATTAGACGAACATGGACATGTTCGGATAAGCGATTTAGGATTAGCCTGTGATTTTTCCAAGAAAAAGCCTCACGCTAGCGTGTAAGTACACTGGGTACACATACTTATCTTTTTCGAATTGTTCGCAAGGGACAATGATTACTAATGTTGGGACAATGATTACTAATGTTGGGATTATGTATTGGTTCACAGGGGAACGCATGGATATATGGCCCCCGAGGTCCTCTCGAAGGGCACAGCCTACGATTCTAGTGCCGACTGGTTTAGTTTCGGTTGTATGTTGTATAAGCTATTGAAAGGGCACTCGCCCTTTCGGCAGCACAAGACCAAAGACAAACACGAAATTGATAGAATGACGCTAACTATGGTAAGAAACGCAGATAACTAAAAGAATAATGTGCATATATTTTTTATTGTTTGTTACAGAATGTCGAACTGCCAGAATCGTTTAGTAAGGAACTGAAGTCGTTACTGGAAGGATTGCTGCAAAGGGATGTGGACAAGAGACTGGGCTGCAAGGGCAGGGGGTACGTGACACGAGTGAACGTTTATTTTGTATAAAATAAAATATACCTCAAACAAATAAATTTACATTGACAACTTTATGTGTTAAAAAATTATTTTTGATTTAAAGAAATACAATTTTGTTTGTATTTTACAGGGCCGATGAGGTAAAAGAACACTCCTTCTTTGCTGGAATTGAC